CCCAGCTTTACTCCCCAGAATCTCACGTTTAGAACCAGGAAATGTGGAGTTTTTCTTCTTTTTCTGTGTCCTGTTCTTTTCTTCTTCTGCTTTTTTCCTCCTCACGCCGTCTGACGCTAAAAACTGAGCTAAAGCTCAGAGCTGCTGCCTGTTTCCTGCAGCTGTGGGTAAACTGGCCCACATCCAGAGCTAAACACTCCCACACAAGTCACAGAAAAGAACCAGAGCCTCCAACCTCCCTCAGAGATTTATCAGAGATTTATCTGAGTCTGTTTACGTCTATTTCTCCTTTAGATTCAGAATCGCTCCCTTTTTCTTTGCACAAACATTGAAGATTTCTGAGTTTGGACCCGTTTAAAACAGAAATTTAGCCCATAAAATGGTTTATTTCTGTTATTCAGGCTCACAGGGCAACAATATTAACCGTATAAAGCCAAATGTGTGATATCTGTTCCGGTTTCTTTTGGATGTGAGACTTTCTGCATCATTCAGTGGTAAAAGCTTTGCTCAAACCCCTGTTGTACACATTCAGATATACCTGATAACAGCCAGTAGAAGACTACACCAACATAGATTTATGACTTATTGCACACTAATTTGATCAAAGAAAGACTTCAGACTAAAAAAATCCAATATTCTTCCTATTTTTCTCAGGTCAGGCTTTAAAGGGTTAAAGCTGTTTTTGGCCTTTAAAGCTGTTTTGGGGGTCTTAACCCTATAAAGCCAAATGTGTCACCAAAATACATTTTTTACTTATTGCAAACGAATTGGATCAAAATCATTTGTGTTTTTTTTCTTCATATGTTGTTGAGGGGCCAAAGAAAGACTTCAGACTAAAAAAATCCAATATTCTTCCTATTTTTCTTGGATCAGGCTTTAAAGGGTTAAATTGCTCCTTATAGAATCATTTCTCTGTCTTAATCTGGACCAGAACCCGGTTCTGTCTGAGGTCCATCAGAGCCCTGAAGAGCTCATTTCAGCTCCAGATGTGAGTCTGAGATGAGTCTCTGATGGGGGGCTGTTTGAGTGACAGCTCACCTGCACCGTGCGGGGCTGTGGGGGGGGGTCTGGGGGGAGACAGGGCTCCGCTAATAGCCGCTAATGCTCCGGGCTGCTGGTCATTATTAATGAGACCCAGTCCCGGTTCCGGTCCCAGTCCCGGTCCGGAACCCCGTTTTTCCAGCCACCAGACGTCTAAACACCGCGTTCACGCGCACAGCCGCGCGGGGACGCGGTGGGGGACCGGGACACGGAGGGAAAAAGGGGGAAAAAGGGGGTAAAAAGGGGAGAAAGGGGGAGAAAGGGGGAGGCCCACTCACGTAGTGCTTGGACGGGCTGCGCCTCTTCTCCACGTCCACCACCTTCACGTCCAGCACCGCGCGCAGCTGCATCCTCACGCGCACCAGGCTCTGCATGGACGCGGCGGGGGCCCGCGGGGTCCGGACCAGCTCCTGGAGGGGGG